AAACACTGATGGCAGCTCTAGTTTAAACTCTGACATTTGAAGCCTGTAATGTGCTTTACTGTGAATGTTTTAGTGTTTCAGTAAATCCTTCAGTAAATACTTCAACTTGAAGCCTCACTCTTAACACTGGAGGAGGCTTTAGTACAGTACGCTTCACTTTACTTAGAGCGGACAAATACAACTTATGAGCTCTTATAATTTGTTATGATCAGTACTTATAATGCATTATGTTAACAATTCATTATGCATAATAAGCATGGCTATAACGTATAATGCATTTTTATAAATATTTATAGCCATGTTTATAATGCCTTATGAATGCATTATAACATGTTATGAATGTGTTTATAGATGCTTACAAAGGTGACATTCATAGAAAGTGTTACCGAACTATCATACCAAACCAGTGATGTTGACCAGGGCTCAGAAATTACAGTCGTTTTATCCAGTCATGTGGTTTACATTGTTTTTTTGAACGTTAGCTCATCTCAAGCACACACACTCACTCCTGCGCCTCTTCTCCAGGCGTCTCTGCCTCTTCTCCTCCCTCAGCCGCGCCTCCTCCTCCTCCTGGTCCTGCCGGCACTTGTGGAAGTTCTCCACCACCACGCCCACGAACATGTTCAGCACAAAAAAACTGACAATCAGCAGGAAGGAAATGAAGTACAGCAGCATCCAGGGGTTATGGTTCCTTATGGGCTGCGGAGGGAAGCAGAGAGGCGGGGAGACGGAAAGAAAACAAGAGAGAGAGAAACAAGAGCGCGTGAGGCGGCGAGGAGGGAACAAGGCGTTTCCTCATCTGTTCATTTATTCATTCTTCCAAGAACAAATGACAAAAAGGACATCAGTTAGTCAGACAGTTGGACTGAGAAGAAGACAGTATGTTTACTTGTTTCAGGTCAAAGACATAGAAACCCAGCCAACCCTACTTCTGTCCACGTGCAAAAGTTTTGGCACCCAGCTCACATGATGTTTTGTTGATTTTCTGAGCTAAAAACTCATTTTCGCACATTTTAATACACGCTTACTGCTTATTTGCTGAACTTTACACACATAAAATGTGGCCAATGTGACCAGAGACATTTTAATGAAAAACACATTTTACACAATGTCTGCTACAGAGCATCAAACCACATGTTGTCGATCATGGAATATCCACCAAAATATGTAATTTAATCCATTTGTGTTCTATTTTTTCACAAACACCTCAGAATAAAGTCGGTCACACCAGTGACTCCAGCTAAAAGCTTCATATGAAATCATGAGCTAAATGACAAAATCTCTGATAACTGAAAGACACAGTGGACTCACCATGTGCTTTTCTTCATAGATCCTCAGAAAACAGGTGAAAGGAAGTCGAGTGATGTCATCAGTGTGATTTTTATTTCAAATTAAGAGATTTTTTGTTATGCAGTAACACCAGTGACACGACTCCTGGGGACACTTTCATTATATATTTTATAATATCTATTTGGCTTTTGTTTTCATTATGTCATTTAATTTATATATTTCATAGTCATGTATAGATTATTGTAGTTAAAATGGCAGAAAAACAAGTTTTTTTTCTTCAAAATATGGCCTCAGCCTTTACACATGACTGTGGGGATGAGCTTTTATGTGGTGCTTGGAATTCTATAATTGATTTATAAACCAATATTGCTGAATTGAGGCTCAATAAGGTGTAACTGTTAAAATAACTTACTGCTTTATTTTAAAATACAAATAAATCGTAACCCAATGTTTTTCAAGTGTAACATATCTGTAAATGCTAGGGACTCAAAAAATGGACGTTTCTGTAGAATGAATCTTTTATTTGTTAACAACCCACTTGTGGGGTAGGTTGTAACACATTATCATGTTATCATGTTGTCTAATTTTTCTAGGTTGCTTGTATAAAAACGATTAATATTTCTCAAATACACTTAAAATGTGTTAAAGAAATTGGGTTCTCCATGATATGGAGCCCTCACAAAGGCAGAAAGACTAACTTTTGCTTTCCTTAAGAAATCTGCTCGTCTACTACGCTGCTTTCTCTGAGCTTCTTCAGATTCAGATTAGTCGTTTAAGCATTTAGGCTCAGTGTGCTCAACGGTCCAAAGGAACTGTAGACTTTCATAACGTGTTCGCTTACTGCCCTGAAACGAGGAGGGAGGGGAAACGACAGAACGAGAAAATGAGAGGACGAAAGTACAGATATGATAGGAGGGAGTGACATTGTTCCAGTGAAGAGGTGTAACTTTCATATTGAACGTGAGGTGAATTCATTCCTCAATGCAAAAGGGAGAAAAATTGTCAGAGTGAAGGGGAGGGTGGCAGCAGAGGAGCTTATCAGCAAAAAAACAGAGAGAGGGAGGGAGAGAGAGAGAGAGAGAGAGAGAGAGAGAGAGAGGGGTATTTATATACCTATACTGTTTATGTCATATTTCTCAGGAAAAGCAATTGGTACTTGTCCACACACAAATATGAGCCTCAGCTACAGCTACAAACCCTATTGTTTTGGAACTGTGCTATTGTTGCCTTATTGTGTGTGTGTGTGGGTGTGGGTGTGTGTGTGTGTGTGTGTGTGTGTGTGTGTGGGTGTGTGTGTGTGTGTGTGTGTATCTATTTGGTTTTTAAAGCCCCACAGAACCAAATATGTATTTGCTTTTTCTGTAGGTCTAGTCCAGGGGTCGGCAACATGCAGCTCCGAAGTTGCATGCGGCTCTTCTACTGCCCTGTTGTGGCTCCACAGCAGAATTAGATTCGTAGGTAAAAATCCTCCTTTACAGTAAAATAAAGCTCTGCTGATCATTCAACACAGTTTAACAATAAACGGTCTTAAACGCTGGAGTTAATGTAGAACTGCTAATTCACCATTTAACCCTGAAGATTGGTGTGCAGACTGCTGGTCACCATAGCAACGCAGACAACAATCTCGACTAGCTAGTAGCCAACGAAAAGGCAAAGAAGACGAACATCGATAATTTGGAGATGAATGGACTTATCTGCAGTTATGATCACTTTCCTGATACGTTTAATCTGCAATGAGAAACTGTCAAACACTAAAAAGTTCCGAGGCTGAAGTCAGTTTCTCATTCGCCAGCTTCTTGTTCAAATCTTCCCGTTCCACATTAAATTATGCAGTAGTTACATTCTGGAGGCTCAGGCGCCATTTAAGGTGGAACAGGAAAATTAGAACAAGAAGCTGGAAAATGAGAAGCGACTTCAGCCTCGTAAAAAGTCGAACATTGAGAGACATTTTACAAGAAACTGTTCTACTTTTGTGGAAAGGTTTCCTGCCAGAGATGTAAGAAAAGCGGAGCAAAGTCTGTGTTTTCATTATATTTTTAGCCTATATTAGTACATCAGCACATACTGAGACATGTTTACAGCCAAGATGGTAAAATGGATATAAAAGTTTGTGGCTCCCAAAGTGGTTTGATTTTTGTTGAAAGGACAAAATGCTCTAAGAGATCTTCCTCTTGTGGCCACACAATATACATATACAAAGTGCATCCAAAGTCCAAAACTGGCCAATGTGTTTTGCCAACATTCTCATCTGTCAATGTAAAATAGGTGGTCCTAATTTTGGGTAGCGCTTAAGTAAGCAGTCCCCTCACCAATCACAAGGCTGATGTGGTTTGTCCCACCCACGCAGCTTTAACAAAACTGGATTCCCCCACGATCTCTATATGTGTTTGGTTTGGAGAAACTCACTGAAAGAAGGCTAACCACCAAGCGAAAGCTAACCTAGCAAGCATTACTGAACACATCTCTCTGTTTGTCCATTTACTTGTTTGTATTCCCTTAATAATGTGCTAGCTATGAAAGTTTAGACATTCTAGCCTCTGCAGCCAAATGGTGCATCATGTATGGAGTGTGGATGTGTCCGAGTACCAAATGACAATTTCTTAGCTATATTTTGCACTGTTGGGCTGCAGGATCCAGTATTTAAATTCCTACGTAGCTAGCGCACTATATAGGGAGCAAGGAGCCATTTGAGGTTTAGCCCCAGCGCGAGGAGCGCCGCTGGATTGGTGCTAAATAAGACTCGTGGTGGTACTTTGGTGACCACAAAGTACTTATAAACCGAAAGTTTTCACATTAAACAGTGCTGTGTTATCATATGTTCATTGTTATACGACAAAAAGCTTAACAATACGTGAAATGACTGCAGTATACAGCGATGGGCGACCAAACGTTCTCCGGTCCGTGGCTGCTTGGCAATGATACCATACTCTAAAGCAGGGTCTCTCAACCTGTGGGCCACAGACCACCAGTGGGCCGTGAAGCACCCTATAGTGGTCCGCGGGCCTGAACTCAGGGGGAAGGCAGTAGTTCGCAGTGGGCCGATAGCGATGGATAAAGGAAAACACCGCAGTCGCAGGCTAATTAAACTTCATCAGTTTGAGACAATGCAGCCGCCAGCACACAGTGTAGACAGTCAGAGATTGAAGGTTTCTCAGGATGTTTCTCCTGCCTTGTTTGGTGAGGACCGATCAAATTTTTTTCTTGCTCTGTTTTGACGTGTGTCAACACTCCACCCGTATTCGGCTGTAACGGTCCGGCAAAACTCACGGGTCTCGATTTGCTTCAAACCGAACCCTTGTCAGTTCATGGCTGGTTTGACGCATTTATGATTAAATGAAGGAATTCTTCAACAGAGCTGACTTTCCTCTTCTTCTATCAGCATGTCAGCACTGTATACTGTCAGCATAATCTGCCGGTTTAACAGCTGACTCTTTACAGACTCTCATTGCTCTCATATAGTTCCTGCAGGTCGAGCTGCAGCTGATAAAAATGCCAGACGAAGATCTGCGTTTGATTTCTGGCCAATTTCGAACTTTAGCGACTTGAGTAGATAAACTCAAATTGATAAACTAATGACAAAGAAGCAGATAGTAATGTTTATCATTATTAAAGATTGTGGCGACGGTAGTCCAGAAGCCCCCTGAGTGGAGTGAGGTTTACTTCAAGTTAGGCACTAAAACCCTCAAACCTAAAGAGACATCTTGACACCAAAAAGTCACTGGGAGCCACAAGAGTATTTTCCGCGAAAAACGTGATTGATTGCAGAAATTGTGGTTTCTGTCCTTAAAGTGAAATGGACGATCTGATCTTTTTCAGGCCCTAATTCCGAGGTTTTCAGTGTGAGCAATTAAGAAAAAAAAAGAAAAATAAATAGTCATATCATATCATTGAGTTTTTGAGAAGTCTGAGTTGAGAACATATCCCTATATACCTTAATTATGTTTACTCTATTAAAATAAATAATGATCCTTTTGTCCCTACCAAAGCAGAATTTTAGCCAGTACATGCCTATGGCAAACACTTTGAACAGGTGGGCACAAATAAAATTTATTAAAACACAGAAAGTACTTAATTACAGAATATATTAGCTTTAATGTTTCGACAGTGATAATCCTTATTGTTCCACACTGACTTTTAGACTTTTGGGACACATTTACTTCTTCAAAACTGTGGGATCGAACTGCTCACCATGTGGCCATGAGGGACAGGGATGCAGTCTCACTTCCTGCTCTAAAATGCAGGGATGTCTCTGACTCTTTTTGTTTCGGTAGTGACATTAAAACATGGGACAGTGTTTTTTGAATAGTTTTTTTTTAAAATAATTAAAAAAAACAACACTGAAAAACTGCAAAAAATGTTTTTTTTTTTTGGTCGACCCTGTAAATGATGTTTTTGTATATATTTACCTTATTTCTATCTCAATTAACGCCTTGGTTTTAAATACATCATAAAATAATCCTTGAAATATCTAAGATCTGCATACTTAAATGTTTTTTTTAAATAGGTTTTCTATTGTGGGACTGCAGTTTGAACTAATTTGGTTGAATAGTTTATATTTAACTTGTTTTTTTTTCCTTTAAACTTTGATAAATGTATAATATGAAATCCATTTTAGCATCATATAATGAGCATTTTAATATTTTACACTGTGTTGTCTGGGGATGACAATGCTTTCCCTCACTCCTCTGAGTGTGTCACCCCACCTTTCTCCTCCCTTTAAAGCTCTTTTCTGTGTGTTTTGAGATTAGTGTGTGTGAGGGAGTGTGACGGGTATTTGGGAAGCGTATAGTAAATATTAGACGTGTCACTGTGTCTTTGTTATTGAGCACTTTGGAGAAAGAGATCAGAACAAAGAGAGAGTAAAGAGGTAAACAGAACACATGGCTGATGGGAATTAATATCTACCACACACACACACACATAAACATACACACACCTGTTGGTCCACGGCCACTGCGTCTAACCCGTCATACATGATGTTGACCCAGCCGTCTTTAGACGAAAGGACAAACAGTGACATCAGTGCCTGCACAAAACATAAGACACAAAATATTATACATGAGCTGCAAAGCAATAAATAGCAGCATCTGTAATTTAACCCCTTGAATCTTAGACTCATTATTCAGTAATTAATCTTCTGTAAGTGCTTTGAATTATTCAGCATTCTATTCTACTATGAGACTAATATGTAAGTTATGCAGTTATAACTGAGTTGAACTACATTCACATACAGGTTCTTTGGGTTTGAGGGGTTAAATACTGAAATGGATTCAAATGCATTCCATTTTGTTAAAGCTACAGTGAGGAGAAACAAGTATTCACACTTTAGATTATACTATACTTCCAATGCATCTAATTAAATCGAACTGATTTAATTTAATCTAATATAACGTTTATAGGACTTATTCTTGTTTTTGTTGTACAGCGCCACTTTATGGCTGACTGAGGTCAAACTTTATAGGCTATCAGAGACTGTCTATGTGGACACATCATACAATTTTTGTGAAGATTGGCCAATGCTAAGCCCTCCAAAGGCCTCTTGAATTCTTATTGGTCACTTGGCCCATATTAGTCTGATGATTGAGTTGTCCTTAATAGTTCATGTATAAAGTAGCCCAGGGATGCATCATGCAAAGTTTCAGCTCAACTGCCCAAGCAGTTGCTGAGAAACAGATTTTTGGTTGTTATAGCGCCCCCTATTGAGTAATCGATATCAAACTTGGTGGCTTCCACAGAATCATGTGGGGTACAGGACTGTTAAGTTTGATGAGAATTGGCCAAAGCAGTCTGGATTGGCATATGGCAGCCATATTGTTTATTCTCTATAAATATTCACATTTTTTGTTAATTCTTGACCGCCAGACTCCCCTGAACATTTTGAGACCAATATTGTGTGGATATCTTGAAAAGCCTCAGTGTATACTTGTGTATTCAGAAGCATAAACAAAGATATGCACGTCTAAAATTTGCTCATAAGCAGAACTTTTTGGAACGATGTGCTGTGGTCAACATAAATAGGACCCACAGGCAATAATTCAGCTCGTCACGTTTAGAGAAGGAAGGGTTGTGTGTATAATCTCAACATCATACCCACAGTGAAGCATGGTGGTGGGAGCATCATGATATTAGTTCTCTGCAAATGGTATTGAGGCACTGCCCGTCACTGAAGAAAACAATGAATGGAGCTATACTGGAAGATTTTTACAGGAGAATTTAATCTCATCAGCCAAGAAACTGAATCTGAGGTGAAGACGGATGCATCAAGCAAGACAACGACCCCAAAGATACAGCTGAAATAACTCAAGACTGGTTTCTAAAAAGTAGGTGAAGGACAAGGTCATGCGACACGGAAGCAAGCAGAGATTTAAGCACAAATCAAACGCCGGCCAACCTGTACCTAATTTACATATCATTTACATGAAGCACGCCCTAATTCATGCAGATGTTTTGGTAGGGAGCCAATAAAAAACAGTTCAGTGGCTCATAAACCATTGTTTGTGCTTGTAGGCGGAGTTAGAGCTTGAGCGGTGACAGTGTTTGACAGTGGCTGCATATTCCAACCACAGAGCATATATATATATATATATATATGATTCAGCTCCTCTATGACTGTAGCCACTCACTCCCATTCATACAGCTCAGGGATTCTTGCTACAGTGGATGCCCTCAATGGAACTGAACTAGTTTGAAGGGTCAAAAAATGTTACCATGTTATGTTAAAATGTTAACATGTACCAAATCTCTAAACATTCATCATCAGTTTATGCCTTATAAAACATCTCACAGAGCGTATGCAACTCCTTACAGGAGATAGTAAAAATAACATTTATTTCTAGTCACAATATTTGTGACTCTGCACTCGGTACATTTACACATATTTTCTGGAAATGTTCTAAAGTAGCAGATACATAGACCTCTAAAGTAGATATATTATCTAAATTACTTATTCCCAGTATTCCGATGTTGCCGCATTTATGCCTTTTAAATTGATGATAACCCTTCAGGTTTCATTGGATCAGCAAAGGATGTTAATGGTGGGCTTTATAGCTACCAAAAAAACTGTCTTACAACTTCGGAAGCCACACAGTTTTCAGCTCTGAACTTATGGATATCTGTTTTTTTATTGAACTGTATTCCGTATTGACAATCATACGTTTCAATCTCACACAACTGGCCAACATACAAATAATTTTCGAAAGATTTCAGAAGTCCACACGGGGGTTCAGAGTTTCCGTAATTTGTGTGTTTGATGACGAAGGTCGTACAGATATCTAGTTTCAAAAATACAGTTTGAACAAAATATCTTACAGCCAAGCTTAACAAAACAAAGCAGTCAACAATTAGTAATTGGGAGAACTCTATTCAAGAATTTTAGTTTCCAACTGAATTATGCAACATTTATAATCTGTTTGTTTTGTCTGTCTTATCTTTGATCTGTGTGCATTCCTAACAATGTATGTCACCGTCCTACCTTCCCTATCTCATACCTTCCCCCAACCCTGTTGTTAAATGCAATAAAAATCACAAAAAAGGCATTAAAATGTGCTGTAAATGTTTTCATTTTTCATAATTGGGAAAAAGACTCGCTAAACTGTTTGTTTGCTTGGGTGACGGTGTGTGTGTGTGCATGTACGTGTATACCATACCTGGCCCAGATTGTCAAAGTTGTATTTTCTGCGTACCCATCGATAGTGCGCTTGCAGACACTCCGACTTGTTGGTGATGTTTTTGGTGTCGAAGCCTTCGCAGTGATAAAACTTTCCCTTAAAGAGCTGAGAGTGGGAAAAAGCTTATCAACACAATAAATCAGCACATCATGAATAAATAATACATTAATACTAAACAGTATTTGGAGGGATTCCTTCAGGCAAGAACTGATTAGATCCTGGTTGGTTCAGCGTGAATCGTTCACACAATGTGATGTTGAATTTATGCTGAAAACCGGGTCGGAGCTGAAAAAGGTTATCGACGTGCTCAATTTGTCGATAATTAGCCTTTGACAGAGTTAGATTCGGAGCAATTATCGACAATGAGGTGTGCATAACAGCCCCACGTTCCTCTTAACTGCTCCACACTGATGACCTCCATATACTCCACATATGCATATGACTATGCTCCAACAGAACTTACCCTTTGCTGTTTAAACTTTCCATCTCAGCACTTTCAGGTTGAATCGGGGTGAATATAAAGAAAGAGTGTTGCCGTATTTTAAATGGATAAAGTGCTGGGGTGGAAACGCTTTTCAGTCAAAGCCACAGGGAACCAAAATCCTTGATTTCTTTCTAATCAGGTTGATCTTGCTCTTGTGGGCACACAATGTACAGTACTAAGACCCCCATTCATTTTCCAGTCAAAACAGTCATTAAGTACAAATGACTCGTTTTTCAACATCAGGAAAAAGCAGACAGCATACACTTCACAGACTTACTCAGAAACCTTAAACACTAAATAGAACAAGCCATTGTCAGTACATACTGTCTCCATCTTTTGCCTTTATTACAGCTTCCATTCTTTTCAGGAGACCTTCAACCTTTCAAGGAAATCTGGGTATTTCTCCACACCTCCACAGTTCAATCTTAGATGTTGGTTGTATTTTCTGCTTCTCACAATCCAAGTAACCCAAACACATTCAGTAATGTTCAAATCACAAGACTGATCTGGTTTGTCCTGGACTCAGCTTTATCAAAACGATCAAATCCTCTCTTTAAATGTGAGAAACTTAACTTTAAGCAACTTAAAGTTAAATAGTGAGCGAAAGACAGCCTAGCAGGCATAACCCAGCTAGCAAATGAGCCCATCTGTCTGCCTGTCTGCCATTCGTTTGTTCATACATTTGTCTCAAAAACCATTCTAGCATTCCGCAGAGTGAGTAAGAACCTTACCCTCTTTAAGGCATCACCACATAAAAGCTGGATAATGTTTTTAATGAGCCCTAAACACAGTCAGGTCTACAACACCAGCTCTTTTTACTCATTTCTCCCCGCTCTACTGTGTTTAGTTCTGCATGACAAGCTTAATGGACCCGACAGGCCAATTCAGCTGTTTTTTCAGCTGTGTTTTCTTGTTTTCTTCACTTTGCTGGATGTTTAACATTCAAGGTAAGTATCATTCAAACATTTTCAACACTGTACACTGTGTTCCCTGGGACTTTAAAGCTGACGGAGAGTATTTTAGGCCAGGGACTGCCAGATGGTCCCCGCAATGCATGGGGACAGAGCAAAAATGCGGGGTTCATGAGGACCAGTTTGAGAACCATTGTTCTAACCAGCACCATTGGGTTGGTTTAAATCTGACCAAGAGAGAAAAAGTATTAATGCTCCAATACTTTGTCCAAAAATGCTGTAATATTCATGTGTCTATGTATTCATACCTGGACCCCCAGTATGCCAAACACGATGAAGAAAGCGCAGCAGATCAGCACGATGTTTCCGATTGGGCGGAGAGACGTTATCAGTGTTTCAACCACCAGCTTCAGTCCTGGAGCTCTGCTTATAACTCTGATCAGACATAAACACACACACATACACACAATTTCTATGACCACATTGGCCCATGCAATGCCAGCAAAGAGAAGTTCAGCACTCTAAACAGCGCCCCCTTGCGGTCAATTACAGTTAGTGCCATTTCAGAACCATGGACAGCAAAGACTTATCTGACATCACTGAACTGAAAATGCACAATGGTTTACAATAAACATTAGTACTGTAGCTGTGAACACTATATTCTATGTATCGCTGCTGTTGGAAGAAAACCTTGTATCTCCATTTTTGCTCTTTTTCAGTTTTTGACATAATTTGAAAATGCCTGTTACCCTTTACATTGGGTGTAAATTTCACGAAAAATGGACCGAAAGAAACGGCCCAAAACCACTTGGAAAAAGGTCTGGTTCCCATTCTCATTTTCTCATTTAGTTCTCATTTTACAACTGTTGGTACTTGTTATGTTCTTGTGATATATACTGCATTTTCCATGTCTTAGGCAGCCAAGAAAGTCGTCCAATACTATCATCTCAGCAGTATTCATGTTTTTGTCTGTAAAACACAACATTAGAATCAATATGAATAAACATTAATACGGTCAAATGTAACAGGACTGGGTGGTATCTGTAATTACTGGACCTCCTCAAGGAGAGCTTTGAAATGGTTAACACACACACTTCAATTTCTTTTTGAAGTTTTTTTGAAACGCTATCCAGATAAATAGCTTTAAACATCACTTTTTCAGATTTCTCTGAACTGTATTTGATGCCTTTTTATCATTTTACATTTTTATCTTATAACTCTTTTTTTTAACTCTTGACACAAAAAAATACAACACATGACTTTACCAAGTAACATGATCGCATTTAGACTCGTGCACTAGCTTTGTTTATAACACGCAGACAGAATGCATCTGATTTGAGCCTGAAACTGTCACAAACACTTTAGTACATCAGGCCTCATGTGTTCTCCAGTTCTAGGCCTTCATGTGGAGTATATCGTCAAGCCTTGTCTCTTCAAAATGGAAATTATACTGTAGAAGGAAAAAACATTTCATTGGACATTAATGTGGCAAGATGTTTTTTCCAAGTCATCTTGAACCATTTCTGTTGGTCCTTTCGTCATAAAGATTCAACATAAGGCAAAGGCGGACAGGGCGTTTCAAATTACGCAAAATAAAATAAAAAATAAAAAATTAAAAAATGGACATAGAAGGTTTTTGAGCAACAAAAAAGCGTCAACTTCATTACCCAGTAAAAGTAACACAGTCTCCATTATACTATTCAAAATGTAATAACTATATTAGGTAAAATATGATCCTGCATCAAAAATTTGGTATACAGTGCTCTGCAAAAGTTTTAGTCAGAGTTTCTTTGGGCAGCAAGTATTATTTGCTGAGAAAAACACTAAAATTTAATATAAATATGTCTTGTTTTTATGCATTTCCAAACCTCTCCTTGAGAAAGCCAGTATTATTTGTAGTTCCCATCCAACGCCCAGTTTGGCTAACCAGTCCTTCTTTTTGAAGATAAAGCAAAACTGTGTTCTAAGCAGCTACTTTCTTGAAAACAAGACATTCTTGTTACCTTTCACCGTATTCATGTTTGTTTGAGTCTATTCTAACATTATATAGTCTTCTTACTGGCAAAATCTCACTTACAGCCCCGTTAAATGCTTTTAAAACTATTTGCTTAAGTGCCTGAGACTACCGCACAGTACTGTACATCAAAGCGTCAATGAGTCAATGATAAGAATGTACCCACAGTTACAGAATGACTCACTACTCAATCTGTATTTACACAGTATATATGACTATATATAAACACAGCGGTGACTCATATCTCATTTCACACCTACCTGAGAGGTCTCAGTGTTCTGAGGAGACGCAGCACGCGCAGGATTCCCAAAATGCGGTTCCCTCCAGATGAGGCCAGCGACACCAGAATGTCCACTATAGACACGAAGACCAGCAGCCCATCTAGAACATTCCAGCTGCTCTGCAGATACGAGCCTGGACCCACATACATCCCCATCGCCACCACCTATCACAGCGACACACGCTGCATCACCACCTCCATCGTTTTAAACATTACTTTATAAATATATTTGTTAAGAGCTTTTATTCACCTTAACAGTCATCTCAGCTATGAAGATCACAGTGAAGATGTAGTTAGACACGCTGAGGAAGACACGCTCCTGTACGCAAGAGAGAAAACACATTCTGGTTGCAAAACAACAAACACTTAAGAACACATTGTTTTAAGGTTCCTATCATGTATTTTTCTTTCAGTTCTGCGACTTTTTGTACCAACAACCATCCTTCATTTTCAAACCTCAGCCTTAGAATTAAACATGCTGTTTTGGTTACTGTGATTTGCACTTCATGGCCAAAAGTATGTGGACACCTGACTATCACACCTATATGAGCTTGATGGACATCCCATTCCAGAACCTTGGGCATTTATGTGGAGTTGTGCCTGTTTGTGGCTAAACGAGCCTCCACTCTTCTCTGAAGGAGAATTCTCCCATGAGAGTATGAAGTGTGTCTGTGGGGATTTCAGTCAAAAGAGCCTTTGTGAGGTCAGGCACTGATGTTGAACTAAAACACCATCCCCAAACTGTATAACTGTCTAAAATGTCTTATCCTTCACTGGAATTAAGGGGTCCGAACCCATTATCCCAGCCCATTATCCCTCCTCAACCAAACTTTACTGTTGCCACTGTGCATTCCAGTAGTTAGTGTTTTCCTGGCATCCGCCAAACACAGATTTAGCCATCAGACTGCCAGACAGTGAAGTGTGAGAACATGTATCCGCTGCTCCAGAGTCCAGTGGTGGCATGCTTTACACCCCTCCAACCGACGCTTGGCATTGTGCATAGTGATCCTAGACTTGTGGGGAGCTGGTCAGTCATGGAAACCCATTTCACGAAGCTCCCAACTCAACAGGCGATTTGTGCTCAATGTGCTTCAGCCCACTGCAGGCCCCCACTCTGTGAGTTTGCATGGTCTACCACTTCATGGCTAAACTGTTGTTGCTCCTAGATGCTTCCATTCTACAATAGCACTTACAGTTGCCTGGGGCAGATCTAGCAGGGCAGAAATTTCGCCAACAGATTTGTGGCAGAGGTGGCATCCTTTAACAGCGCTACATTTAAAGTCACTTCAGTCACTTCAGAGCTCTTCAGTACGACCCACTCTGCTGCCAGTGTTTGTCTATGGACAAAGCGTGGCTATGTTACCTGTTACCAGTGCATGTGGCTGAAACACCTGGACTTACTAACTAGGAAGGGTGTCCACATACGTTTGTGTAGCGTAGTGTATGTGAAAGACCTCTGCTGTGATATAATTGTGAAGTCATATTCAAAAGGAAACTCCTCATGGAGTTTATGTGAATGGGTGGGGTTAAGCAACTGTAGATTGAATAGGTGGATGTAAATGTGACATCACAAAATAATGAATTTAAAACCGGTTGTTTTTGCAGCTTAGCTTCCATTCATAGCCTGAATGGAGTGAGGAGTGAATGGTACATTTTGAAATGTTAACATTGCTTACATACTACATCAAACTCCTATCTAAAAAACAGGGAAATTTTGGTTTCCTGTAATTTGGGGCCTTCAACATACAAAAAAAGAATTCAAGAGAAGCTTAAAGGTGCGTTTATACTCTCTCAAGCATGCTTCTTAACATTGTTGCCTATGAAGCAAAGCACACCGAAAATCAAAAAGCAAGTGCAGAACGATTTGTGATATTAAACCTCACGCTGAAAACGTCAACCTTTGCACTGAGCACCCACAAAAAGCACTGCATGTCCAACTGAAGGCAATCAAGGATGCTTCTCTCGTGTCAGTCATCCAACATGGAGGAAAAGTTAGTTTTGGCTGTTTTTGAACACCCAGAGCTGAACAGCCCTTGACACAAAGATTTAATATGTCAGTTTTGAAATGTTTATCGATTGTCTCAGCCTTTCATATTCTCTCAAATCATTGTCTTGTGTTTACCTACTTGTCAGTCAACCTTCCCCTAAGCAACGGGGGGAGCTTAAGTTCGTGATGCAGTGCGTGTGTTTAAAAAGCTGCCTTCTGAATGTCTCTAAAGAGGGGTTTTATTTGTAAACTGCCTTTCTCAGACCCAAGGTCGCAGTACAGTTCAAGTCATAGAGGACTGTGCAAAAGACACAGACAACCATTCCTTTGCTCAGTTTCCATTAAAAACGGCCGAGTTATTACTTTTTCAGCATCAGGTAAAAATCAGAAAACATATATTTAATATTATTTAATATTTAATATTAATATTTATTATCATTCTTTTCAGTAGACTCGCTTTGAGTTTTAAAGAAATCTGCAGGGATTTTTTTTCCACACCTCCAAAGTTCAGTCTTAGAAGTGCTGCACTTTGTGGTTACGTAACCCATTCAGCGATGTTGAGGTCTGGACTCTGGGGTGGTCAGTCCATCGTTCAGCTTCTTTGTTTGATGTCTCCGTCTGCTTTTCTCAGTGAGGTTCTTCTTGACAGCTACACATCCTTTCAGACCCATAGCGCTGAGTCGTCTTCTCACAGTGGAAGGATGGACAGAAACACCTGTGGATGTTTTCAGATCTGAAGCAGCTCGATTTTCTCATCTGAAAGCTTTAAGTGCTGTTTATCTGATGGGGGCAGTTTTGGTGTCTAACAGGTCTTCCAGGTGGCTGTTATGAGTCCCATTTTCTCCAGAAGTCCAGTTTTGGAAACATTCGTCCTTCTTTATGCAAGTATCCCATGACAAATGAATAACTTGGCCGTTTTGAATGGAACTGGAATGGAAACAAATGAAGTGTCTCTGACTTTGGTGACTGTCCAAAAAAAAGCAAGTGTGGCCAGTTAGGAATAGAACTAAACTTGAGTGACCACTGATATACAGCTAACAGAGCAGAGGCATAACAAGTGTTACATTTTTTCAAGGAAAGACTGATGAGTGTCACAGTCTCATGGGAGCAGGGGGTGATGGGTATTGTAGTTCAGGATATTGATATAATGACTACTGTAACACTGGAATAAGGATGGATGGATGTTGTTACAGTTTTAGTTGTAGTTAAGTTCACCATGCTGTAGGGCTGGATGTCAGGTCTCTCTAGTGCGATGGTGATGCAGTTGAGGAAGATGAAGATCAGGACAATGTGATCAAACATCTTATGAGTGATGACCTTCTGACAACGCACACGGAACCTGTACAGAGAAAAAGAGATGGAGAAACAGAGAGTCGTGTCAGCGTGGATGTACGTGGAGAGCGAGTGCATTAGGCTGTGTGTATGTAAATGTGAGTCTAAGTGCTTGTTGACCTGCTGTAATGAATCAGCGTGTAAATGTACTTAGACATGCTCACTCGTTTTGAGGTGAGAACAGATAAAGTGACCAATCTTCGTGATCTCTGCACCACTGGGGTTTATATGGCTCCAATATCCTCTTCAACATCAGACACCAGCTCTAAAAAACACACATAAACAGGAGAATTCAATTTACACCAACAACACGTTACATATCACCGCCATTAAACAAAGTAAATACAGGGTATCTACTGGTTTATCCAAATTAAAGGCTTTTAAAGACTTCTTTAATACCAGTTCTGGTGCAATTAAGGACCATTAGCCCAAAATGACACATTACTAAAGAAGGAAAAACTACAGAGATTATAAAAGCAGCACTCCAGCTAGGGCTGGGCGATACAACGATAGCGATAATTATCGCGATATAACTTTCCTCGATAGAGCTATAAGAAATGTTCGTTAAATGTTCGATATAATAGACCATTCTCACACTTCCATATTCTAGCACCAGGCGAGGCATTTTATACTGCAACAGTACTCTGCTGTCGCCAGGAGAGGGCGCACTTTCCGAGTTTTCCCACATGAGGGAAAGTTTAAAACCACAATTAACCACTCAGGAGCAAAAATCAGCCTTCGAACTTGAAAGAAATAATGATTTGACGTTTATCGTGATATGTATCGATGTCAACAGATATCGTTATAACATTTTTGGCCATATCGCCCAGCTCTAACTCCAGCCAAACTTAAAACGTAACCATTACAACAGGTGCTGTAAACATGCCCACTCGTCTATTGAAGTGGTGCCACAGCAGTCTGGAGAGTGAGATCTTCTAGTTTAACCTGACAACTGTCACCCTACCCAAAGTAAAACGACCTCTGTTCCCACATACTTTAGGCTACAGTCATGATATTGTCTCATTTGAAAGGCAACACTCTCAAGACCTTTTCTACCAACTATCAGAATAATTGTATGAATTACTGACACAGAGCAGCAGAGGCTAGTATGGAGGAGTTCACAGATCTCTAAACTGATCTCTGACTCTTGCCACGTTATCAAGACCGTATGTTTTGGATTATGATGTCCCTGTGGAGATCGGCGAGTCTTTGAAGGTGAGGATCCACAGATGTGCTAGTGTTTGGTGCTTATGTTGCAAATAAGACAGTCGTAACTGCTGTGAACGGATCATTAAATGGTTTACCTGAATAGTATCCAGGTAGTATTTCAAGCTTTTTAACGGTATATTGCAACATGAAAATGATGCATAAAAAGCTTTTGTGTGCCAGTACTAGTCCAGATCACTTTCTAGTGATCTAGAAAAGGTAAACCTTTAGGAAACCCCTCTTCTGATGATGCATCTTGAAGGTGGGAGGCACTTTTGAAAAACTACATGTGCGATGGGGTGGATACTTGAGGGTGCACTCTTTGAATTTTTTTTTTTCCCTGCTAGCTGGCTAATGCAGAAGGAAGCCAAAAATCTAACGTTACTGCTAGGAAGCTAAATATCACATCTGTATTTATTAGCCTATAATTCGGGGTCAACACTAGCATTCAGAATTACTTTATCGCTGCAGGGGGCAGGGGATTACCAATGGCTGTACAACGTATTTGTGTCATGCATGCTGGGTATTGTAGTGAGAGATTACAGATGGATGGAAAAACAAAAGGATACAAAACTGTACATTCTGTAAAACCAATGGGACTGAGAGATGCAGCTCTGCACTACAAAATATTACATAGCATGGGCAAACACAGAGAGAAAGCCTGGAGAGAGAGGGGAATGAAGAGACTCTACCAGAAAGCAAAACAGGGGGAGGCAGAAAGAAAGAGAGACACTCATAATGAAAGACAGAAAGAGAGGGAGAGGCTCTAACCTCTTCCAATTCCTCGTCTTCCTCTGTGTGTGTATGTGAGAGCTGTTGCTGAGGCCTGTATGGAGAAGAAGGATAGGACCCATCCACTCTGCCGTTGCACTCCACGTAGGGGCGGGACAGGGGCGGAACCTGCAGCAGCTCTGGCATATCGAACGACCCCAGACGCGAAACTCCGCCCAGGCTGCCCGTCCTGCTGGACTTCCCCTCCTCTGACTGGTCGTCATCTAAGCTGTCCCGGCCCTCACCTGACAGGAGTGACTCGCGCTCTCCTGACTGGCCACGCCTCTTGAGACTGGGGGCGTGGCCTAGGCTGTTCCAGCTGGAGCGGCGGCTTCCCCAGAGACTGGACTGCATTCATGAACACAGGGGGATATGCAAATGACAAATGGTGACATTTCACATACTTTGTTTTTTCATGATGACCACAATGTCTCCATATTATCATAATATGGATTTTCATTTACATGAGAGAGCTTTGGTCTTGTGCTTCTTCCACTGTTAAAAATATACGATATGCAGTAAAGTTACTATGACATTTGGCAAAATTGGCAGTACAAATATGTTAAACCTTAGTCCTCCGTAAATTCAATTACAGTGAAAACACTTATATTTACAGTTATCTGTGTTCTGTTAACCACTGTAATTTACCCTTTCAATAATACTTGTAAAAGCTCTTTAGTCTTTAAATGTGCATTAGCTTTTTATTCTACAAAACCAATTCCAAAGAAGTAAGCAGTGATTTCTAAATCTACTTTGACCTGCATCTGAACAAAAACAATACAAAGACAAGATATGTAATGTTTTACCTTATCAATTTCATTGTAATATATGCTCATTCTAAAACTGATGACTGCAACAGGTTCCAAAAAAGTTGGGACAGGGTGACTTAAGACAAGGAACATTGTGAAATACTCAAAAAATATCATCGTATTGGCTTGAGAATACTTTGACAAACTAGCGTCAAAAACACTGCACTGTAATTCAAACGCAGGTTATGACTGCACTATGCACAGCCACATGTCAACATGCTGTCGACTTCTCTGGACTGATGTAGAGTGGAAATGTGTATTGTGGTCTGATGGGTCCACCTTACAGATGGGCCAAAGAAGCAAAGGACCATCCAGATTGTTACCAGCATAAAGTTCAAAATCCAGAGTCTGTCATGGTGGGGTGGTATTAGTGAAATCTGTGAAAGCATCATTAACTCTGAACACATTTTGGAGCAACATATTGCTGTTGTCGGAACAAAACCTTGTATCTCCAAAATGGTAACTTTACAGGAGAAGGAAAAAACCTACTTTACTTTAATGTAAGTCAATGGAACCAGACTTTTACCAAGTCATTTTTGGGCTGTTTCCTAGGAAAATAGGAATTTTCAAACTACGTCCAAAACTGACAAACGCTGCTTTTTAGACATCGTCTTTTTCAGGGATGTCCATGCTTATTTTAGCATGACAACGCCAAGCCACACTCTGCATGTGTAACAACAGCATGGCTGTGTAAGTGGAGGTGCTAGACTGACCTGCCAGCATTCCAGAACTGTCTCCAATTGAAAATGTGCATCTTATTAAGCTCAGAATGTGACAACAAAGGCTCTGTACAGCTGCACAGCTGAGGACTATCATGACAAATAAAATGGCAAAAAATTCCCCTTTCAAAACTGGATCAGTTTGTCTCTTCAGTCCTCCAACGTTTGTTAAGTGCTGTTAAAAGGAAAGGTGATGTAACGCAGTGGTAAACATGCTCCAGTCCCAGCTTTTTTTTTTAGCAAATATTTACAAAAAGCAATAAAGTTCATGAGGTAAAACATAAAATAATGTGTTTTTGTACTGTTTTCAATTTAATACAGGTCAAACAGAATTTACTAATCACTGCTTCCTGGTTTTATTAGCATTCCAAACAGTGTCCCAACTCTTTATTGAGCTGGTATTTAGTTTTAGTTTCAGTTTTTAGATTAATAGTTTTAGTTTTTTTGACTGAAAAGAAAACTTTTTAGTTTAGCTTTTATTTTGATTCATTTGACTTTCCTTCCAATGAGTTTTACCATTTTAGTGATGCTAAATCAGCACAACACTAGCTACTTTGCTTAGCTAGATTGCAAGCTTTACCCAAAAATATCAGAAATATCATTGTTTGAAAAAGAAGGAATCCACTAAACCCTGAAAATACAAAAACTAAAGTTTATTTTATTTATGATACTATTTTTCTAGCTTGCAATGGACATTATAGTCTTGTTTTAGTGTTCCTGCTTTTGAAAACACAATTGAAGCGTACGTTTTTTTCACTGCTAGGATTTGTTTTTGTAATATTTTTGTTAACTATATTAACTCTGGTTGAAATGCCATTAAACATTAATAAAAAAATGACAGTTTTTTTCTTTTATTGCTGCTATTTTTTAGGATCATAAAAAGGATCAAGCAGAATTCACGGCACACTAGCTGTACACTGTGAAAAGATGTCCTGTTTTCAGGGCTGGTATCTCTTGTCCTACAGCTCAGTGGCATTCTCTATTAGAAATGCTGTCTGTAAAGCAGAACTGTGCCATTTGGCTCCAACCGAACCCAGCTGGACGTCCAGGGGAATGCAACTGTGTGCACGCCAAGTGATGCTGAAATGTACACAGAGGTCAGTCTCTATTTTTGAAAGCGGTGTGCAGATTCAGCTGGGTGTCACATAGTTATGTGGTAAATAAAGTGCTAAGCCTTCTGTTCCAAACAAACCGAGATGTGCCAAAGCTAAAGGGCTGGTGGCTTTATTTTTCCTGATGAGTGCTATGGGCAAAGACTTGGACCTCGAGAAGATCTGCGGATCTGGGTTGATGATAAACTGTAAAGCTGCCCAGTATCGCTATGGTGACATTAATCATCACAATACTGCTACTGCAATATGCAGATGAGCCTCTAACCAGTCATTTAATGTTTTATTGTATGCTGTGAGCATCCTGACCAATTACAGATGTTCTCTGGGTGTTTGGACGAATCATATCAGATCAAATGCGTTCACATGATTCAACAAATATAAATCAATTTTGTCAAAAATGACACAGGCTTAACCTCAACCATATCATTAATGTGTTCTCAGTATATTGGGAGGTATCCCAGATAGCGAGCATATATCGGTCCACTGGTTTAAGATTAGGATTAAGTGACCTTTATTAATCCCACATTGGGAAATTTCACCTCTGCATCTGACGCATCCGTGCAGTGAAACGCCACATACACACTAGTGAATGCACACTCATACTAGGGCTGGGGTTTTCAACCTGTGGGGTGCGAGTACCTGTCCAGGGGGTGCGAGATTACAAGATTTCTGACTTCAAACACTTACGAGAAAAATATAATACTGTAGTGAACCTGTCCTTGCAGTCTATCGCAATTCATTTTTCAACCACTAGAGGGAGCTCATCTGATTAGTCTCGCTGATTACGCACGCTACTCGTCTAATGTTATCCAGCTCACAGTCTGGAAAATGGACCGGTGGCTAGCAAAATTAAATACGGCTAACAGTAAAGAAAAACCGAGTGGCAAAAACAATGACTGCATTGTTTCAGCCGAGGAATCCACAAGTGAGGCCATCCATCCTGACCCCATCGATGCCGATGAGCCATCCACATCAAGCGCAGGGCTACCACGACAGAGAAAGCTACCTGCTAATTCCAAAGGCCTGGTTGCATCAAAATGCAGAAAGTGTGATGAAAGGTACTTAAAATATGGATTTACATGCATCATACAAAATGAAGAAAAGTACCCACAGTGTGTTAAATGTTCAGAGGTAATTGCAAACGACAGTTTAAAACCTGTAAACTTAATAAGACTCTTAAACACCAAGCATCCGACATTCAAAGATAAGCCAGGTGACTTTTTTTGCCGTAAAGAGTCACTGTTGGCTACTCAGAAACGGACAATGATCAGCCAAACCACAGTGACAGTCAAAGCCCTGACTGCCTCATATGAAGTGGCGTATTTGATTGCCAAAGTGAAAAAGCCCCATACAATTGCAGGGACACTCATTCGTCTGGCAGCCGTGGCTATTTCTAGAAATATGCATGGAGCTAAGTTTGCCCGCGACATCAAAAAAATTCCACTCTCTGATAACACCATCAGCCGCCGTGTTGCTGAGATGGCAAATGACGTGAAGTGTCGACTAACAGAAAGACTAAAGGGCGGAAAGAAATTTTGCAATTGGATGAGTCGACAGACGTCTCGAATGCATCCCAACTGCTTGTATTTGTCCGCTACTGCTACGAGGGAAAACTGCTCGAGGATCTGTTGTTTTGCTGTGCACTGGGGGGAAGATGCACAGGGAGATCTATCTTCGAAAAACTCAATAGCGAACTGGACGGAATGGGTCTCTGCTGGAACAGTTGTGTTAGTGTGTGCGCAGATGGAGCTGGTGCCATGATGGGGAAAAACAAAGGACTAATGGCAATGGTTCGTGATGTAGCTCCCCATGTTCGTTTCACTCACTGTGTGATTCACAGAGAGGCCCTTGCAGCAAAAACTCTCCCCTCAGAGTTGAGCAGTGTGCTACAGACAGCAACGCAGATTGTTAATCACATCAAAACTCGTCCAGTGAAGTCAAGACTGTTTGCCCTGTTGTGCAAAGAAATGGGGTCAGAACACGAATCGTTGCTCCTGCACACGGAGGTGAGATGGCTCTCCAGAGGAAAAGTTCTTCAATGGATATTTTCATTACGAGATGAACTACGGATTTTCCTTCTCGATTTTGCATCTTCCAACGCGGAATATTTGAGCAACTCGAAGTGGCTCACAGATCTTGCGTACCTGTTGGACATATTCGACAAACTTAATACCCTTAATTCATCACTTCAGGGCCCAAATTCTAATTTGCTAACATTGTCTGACAAAATTGAAGGGTTCGTGAGAAAACTGGAACGATGCAGAGACCAGTTTAAGGGAGGAAATGTGGACATGTTTCCCACCTTGGAGGAATTCATAAGTGAAAATGAGCTTAGCTGGGATGGTACGAAAAAGGAAATCGCTCTCCACCTCCAAGCCCTTTCTGATCACGTCAGGAAATATTTTCTCGAGCATCAAAGTCAGGATCAGCACGACTGGGTTCGTAATCCCTTCATCACCAGCGCTGGGTGCCAGTAGTCGTCAGACTAGCAGGATGGTCTTCTGGACCTTTCAAGTGACCGATCATTGAAGGCAGTCTTTGATTCAACCTCGCTGCCAGAGTTTTGGCTGTCAGTCAAGGCAGAGTATCCTGAACTGGCGAACCTAGCAACTGATGTGCTTTGCCTTTTGCCTCTACTTGCGCAAGTTCAAAGCAGACACACGGAAGGGGGCGCATGTCCAAAAAGGTTGAAAACCCCTGCACTAGGGGGCAGTGAGCACACTTGCCCAGAGCGATAGGCAGCCACATCCACAGCACCTGGAGAGCAATTGTGGGTTAGGTGCCTTGCTCAAGGGAACTTCAATCACGTACTGTCGGCTCTGAGGATTGAACTGGCATCCTTCCGGTCACAAGGCCGGTTCCCTAACCTCCAGCCCATGACTGCCCATATTTGTCAGGGGAAAGCGCGAATGCAGTCCCCCACTACCAGAAATTACGCAGTCGAGATTCTCGCATTTGGGGAATTTGCAAGGGTCAGCACAACCGAAGTGCAATAGCCAAGCCTCGTCCTGGGTGAACCACCTTCGTGATCATGGAATCGCCCCTGCCAGGACTTGATAAGGTCGGCCCCCTTCTGACTGTTTGCCATTGTTGGTTCACTCTCGAACCACCCAGATTACTGTCCTGCATACAAGCTCAAACTAGTTTCTAATCTCCCCAAACAGGTTTTAAATGCACACAGCCTTTTATTTTGAAAAATACACTAAAACAAATATTACACACCAACTGGGAGAAAAATAATGACTAGGCTTGATATAAAATGATTTTATATTAAATAATGTTGCTGACACTGAGCTGGATAAAAATTATGTGCTAAAGTAATTTACAAAGTATTACTAAAGAAAAGAAGGACGGAAAAAAGAAATTTATTGGACTGTGAGTGGAAAATAAGCGACGATAAATGGAATTTTGTCTAATACTCTGGTTTACCACAGCTGGGCCGCCCGGAAAATCCTGAGCGAAACAGCAGTGGACCGCCAGCTTTGCCAACAGTGGTCCAACAGTGGCCCACTATCCTCTTGCTATCAGGGATATTGCAGTATGCAGCACTGTAATCACCATATCATGCTGCTTCAAACACAATACTGAATTACTGCACTAATTCTACACCAAACACAGTTTATCTGGGTACATTTTTTACTTTTTTACAGTGTAATTTTACTGATTTTTCAAGTTTCTTAATGATTGAGATGTAAGAAACATTGTTTTGATGTGAAAAGGTGTCTTGTAGAGGAACTTACAGACTCAGATTTTCTTTATAATCATTATTTTGGTTCTATTTTGGTTCTATAACACCCTGTATGTACCCCTCCCCATAATGTTTTAGGCTATAACCTTATCTTTGGACACTATTAAGGCTATAAACACTTTGAATGTCTGGTTTGTATTAAAAAAATCACAATGTAAGTTTTTCCCCAATACTGTTCAGCCGTACCGTTTCAAAAGAACAGAAAACTACACTAGAATTTTGTTTTAAATGTGACAGACTGACCACTCAGCTTTCTCAGCTTTCCTGCCATTCCTTCAATAGGAGTGATTACATGAACGCAGCACTAGTTTTGTCAGGGGTGAAACTTTCCTCACACGCCTCTGCAATTCATATTCAGAGGCTGTCCACCTTCTGCAATATGGAGATTACAAGTCTATTTGCTTTTCACTTATGGGGCCTCATTACACTACAACTCCCTTGGCAGTTATAAATACATAATAGTTTCACTCGACTGTAACTGAATTTAGTAAGCAAGCATTTGTTTGTAAAGCACCTTCATTCAGAACGAGGTCCAGGATTCATTTAATGTACATTACTTCATAGGAATCAGTCAGATCCCAACACTGCAGATGGAGCAGCTCATGGATGTCTGATCTATTTTTCTGGTATTGTGCTTGTAAATACTGATTCAAAATTACAATTAAATACAAACGTATTTATGTATGAATATATTCACGTCACATGCAAAAAGGCAGGTCTGGCTCGATGATTTTGGTCTCAAATGCAAAATCAGCATTACACTGATGATATGACAACAGTAGATTATTCACTCAAATCCTCAGAAGACACATCCTTCACCAAGTTTTGACTGAGTTCTCTTCTTTTGCTCAGGGATTCGCAACCAACATTACAAAATGTTCCTCCGCATATTGTGTGCAATTACACATTTCCACCAGAGAGGTCTCCAAATCCCCAAAATTTACATAGTGTAGCTTTAAGGTTGATACACAAAGTAGTGAAGTGCTTGTTAAGCACTGCTTTTGTCTTCTTTTATCACTTGTGCTGCTATTTGTCGTTTTAGCTTGTAAAGACAATGGGATATCACTGGTCTGGCGGATTTTATGGAAAATTCATTAACAAATATATGTGAAGAAAAATAGGCCTGTGTAACTTTTTTGACAACCATCTTGTGACTCCAGGTTGAGAACCACTGGTTTATAACACTGTGAGCTTTTGGAGATGCTTGATATTTATGAGCGCCCACTTCTGGATTTAGGATACATAATACCGTCCTAAGATGTTCTCCCTGAAAGAGAATCAGCGGCAACTGACCTTGTACTTAATGAACTTTAAAAGTGACCCAACTCTCGCTCTGGTCTTCTCCAGCATTCATGAGATCTCAAACCACTTTCTGCTCACGCCACAATTCCTTTAGACTCAGACCCAGGCTGGGTAACGCCTGAAAGTAATGTTATTCAAGTAATGCTCATCATAGAACAGATCTGATTGGCTGAGCCGTGTTCTTGTATATGTATACAGCAATGTAATTAAACATACTTAATTTAATTGCGTTTTTGTTATACTACATAGTATAGTTTGTCGCCGTGTTTTATAAAAGCAATAAGCCACTCAAGGCAATGTGTTACAGTGATTTCACCACAGGTAAGGGGTTTAACCCCTTTCTGCAACTCCCTGTAGTAGCCATTCAGCCTGGAGGTGGTTTGAATGTGGTTCATTTGGTCCATTTAGAGTGGACTGAGTTCATTTGATGTATTCGCATACGTCCAAAAAAAACAAGACTCAGTGGTCTCAAAATGCTGAACCTCTCCTTAGGGAGGCATTTACTGTGCTTATGTTGTCCCCCTCGTTTCCTGAGCATTTTAAAATAGGTATGTTTTTATAATTTGAAATACTGTAGTATTTGACAAACAAACAATGGGAAAATTCCAATTTCATTTCAGAGCCCAGCTGACAGCCTTAGAGACTATGTGCATACATTTATAAGCAGGGCTCCACAGAGAGACAGGCAGTTTTTACCAGCTAGTGTGTGAAAGGCTATTATAACATCAACAGCATGTATTTTCAACAACAGTCGCACACTCTGGAAAACCAATTACTTATTCATGGCTTTGAGTGGTTCTTTATCAAATTGAATTTGCACCCCAATTTCTATTACATTCAGGGCTGGACAGCAGAGGTTCCCAATCTCTTTAACAGCGTGGACCGACGTGCAGCCCAGAACGGCTGCCACGAAGCAGTGGGGGGGGGGTTTGTGTGGGTGAGGTGATGATGCCATGACGCACATGATTAGCCTGCACTGTCAGAAGAAAGGGTAACTGTCCAGGTACACTTTTCTTCATCAACCAGTGTACATTCAGTGTAAAGGTACCCTCAAAGGTACGACGGTGGCCTTAAGATCTGATTACATACCCTAAATGAGTTTTGAAACTACACCACCTTCACTTTCCCAGTGGAAAAGAGCAGAACTGTACAATTTCCTACCTTTTAAAAATAGAGGCGAGTCAAGTCAGGGTGGATGGAGTCGATGCCACTTAAAAAGTATAACTGCAATGCACTAACTAAATGTACTGAAGACGCACTCTTGAAGGTGCCACCCTCGTGACAGCTAAGTATCTTTTATCTGAGAGAGAATGCAGGCCTGGCGCCCAACAACCAATCATCATGCCGCACTAAACCCACTATATTGTACATGTTTCTTTTGTGGCAGGTAGAAAAAAACAAAGTGAAACTAAACTATGATGAAAGGCTAAATCGCTTAATATAAGAGGGCTTGTATGCATCTTGTATGTTGTGGGGACATAAATTAGCACATATTTCTGAAATTCTGTAGACTTTTGGGGATTTACTGTAAATGTGCCTCTCCTGTTAATCCTCTGCTGAATGAGTGGCTCCTTTAGATTGGTCTACTGTAGATCTTTCTTGCTGTATTTTCATCAGCAGTTTTTCTCTGACGCATGGATGCGTTCTCATCATATTTTTGACAGAATGATGCTTTTATATCTTTTAATGCATTTTTTATACTTGTCTTTTCACCCAATATAACATTTTGTTATACTATAATATTGTGAGCTTATTCATTTTTGACCTTTTCACTCAGGTTAGTCTTTAACTAAAAACAGCTAATAGTAGTGTACACACATTCATGAGGCCATATAGAGACGAGACATAGGTTTAAAATGTTTAAAATT